GATTTTTCTTAAGAGTCAAGGTTTGAAAAGTCAATGTGACACTTCGGACTCGTATCAGGGTCGGATACGGGTTGGGGGGTGTTACAATAAGTATATAATGTGATACAAATTTCACACCATTAGAATATGCAAATTGGCACAATTCTTTTCTTGGCGAGAAATGATATGATAGTGACACTATAAGTACTTTCTTTTTTTAATTTAGGACTTTTATTACAAGGGAATAATACATTGTCAGATATTTTTATTTTTTAAATATATTTTAAGAACAATTGATATTATTTTATATTTAAATCTTAATATTTATATGATTTTTTAAAAAATAAACTTAATTATTTTTTATATTTATCTTCCACAAACGTGTTTCATATGAGAAATCATAAAAAATTAATTATTTTATTATAATAATAATTAATATTATATATATATATTAAAATAAATAAAATTAATTTCAATAATAGTTTAACATAAATGTTATTTTTTTGTCAATAACATACATTTTTTTCTCAGCATAGTGGCTAGGCGTTGCACTCTTTCCCTAGAGGTCCCATGTTCGATTATCTTAAAAGTCATGTATTATATTAATTTAGCAAAAAGTAACATATTAAACCATCAACCATATGGTCTAGCCAGATGAAACACTAGACCCCTTAAGCAAATTGAGTTGGGAGGGTCACTCATGCTAATTGCAATGCAAATTCCTAAAGAATATGTATACAACTAAAAATGTAATATCTACTATAATTGATTGCATAATAAATTTTTTAATTAATTTAGTTATGTAGTTGTGATAAAATATTTTCACTAATAAGGGTGATATTAGTGTCTAAATTTTCGTCGTTGTTATTAATATTTTTGTGTCAAAAAATGTAATCACTAATATAATAGTGACGGAGTTATTATTAATAGTATCGAATATTTGGTCACTAAAAACACTTGCCGTGACAACATTGGTGGTCACAAAATATACTTTCAGCCTCAAATAAATTAATCACAATTACTATTGATAATAGCATCAAACATTTGGTCACTAAAAATACTTAGTGTGACAATATTGATGGTCACAAAATATATCTTTAGTTTTTAAAAAATCGTCACAATGTATATTGATAATTGTGTCGAATAGGTGGTCACCAAGAAAAACAAAACAAACAATTGTGACAAGTTTTAGAATAATTGTAACTAATGTAATAGTGATGAAGTTATTAGTGACGATAAGTGACTACTTGGAAACTTTATCACTATGCATTTTAGTGTCTAAATTTAGTGTTTTTAGTGACCATTTGCATTGTCACTAAAGGTGCAGTTTCTTATAGTGAATTTTCATACTTGAATATAAATACAGTAGACAAAATAGACCATCATTTGATTAACGTAATGACTTGATTACTTATGATAAAATTATCTAAAGAATGATATCATATAATCATATCAATGAATTTAGGACAAGTGCACATAGACATCAATCTAATCAAAACAAGTACATTTAAATTATAATAACCATGTTAATATAGATGCATGCTTTTTCATTTGTTACTTATTATTATTAATATTACAAACAAAATTTTGTATCTTATGTTTTATTCATTTTTAAGAAAATTCTTTTTAAAAGTAGATGTAATATTGTTATATTATGATAGTTAAAGTAGTTGGTTTGTGACCGTTTTAGCTACTCAAAATAGAGATACATTATTATTTTTATTAAATAAAGATATATAATGTTTTCAAAATAAATGTCAAGATTTGAACTCACGGGACAATATGAAAATCTTTAACCACTCGACTAATTAATGGATCTCGAAAGGATATTATCATTAATGTTAAGTTTATGATTGAATTTAGTGTAGCAAGTTAATTAAATACCAAACATAGTTAGATGTTTAGAAAAGTATTTTTATTATAAATTATTTTAAAATTAACTTTATCATTTAAGTTTATTGTAAAATATATTATAGAGATGATCCTCCTACTTCAATAGTAAATTTAACTGCTAAATGTTGTTTATTAGATTTAATATTTTATTCTATTAAATAAACTAATAATTAAGGGTGTATCGTTGTCTAATTATACATAAAACTAAAATGATTCTCATATGGAGTTGTAGAATTCACGTGCGCAAATGGTAGCTCAGTTTAGAAGAAAAGAAGAAGATAGTTTGAAGTAGAACAACATAAATTTCTAAAGCTTGTCGTCAAAGTAAAGCCAAAGTTCTGTCGGTTAAACTAAAGCTCATCATTTTCTAAATGTTGTTCTTTTATTTATTTCTTCATCCTAATTATTCCCAAATTCTTTTTGCTTTTCGGCACCGTCCGTTTGAAAAAGAGAAAGAAAGTGAAAGTTGTGCAATGAAATCAAGAAATAAGCACTTGGCAAGCTTTTTTCCCTTCAAAAATGGAGGGAAACTTTACCATCTTCTTTGATGCAACGAACCAACGGTCTACCTCAATTAATTTTAGGTTTAATTAGAAAATAAGTGCTCAAACTGTATGTCTTTCTCAAATAAGTGTCCAAACTTTCTTTTTTCCAATTTATCCAGGTGCCTAACGTTACAAACGTTATCACTTTAGGTGCTCCGACTGTAACGTCCGTTAAGTGACATGTCACATTCTAGTAATTTTGAGATATTTTTAAAATTAAGAATTATTATATTTTAAAAATAATCATAATTTCTCTTAAATTACAAAAAAGCCCCACAACCCTAAAAATCCTAAATTCCTAACCCTAATTCACTGATGTCATTCTTGCCAGCCATGACCACCATGCCGACAAGTCCTTGTTATTTTCCTAGTCAGACGTAGTCATTCTTGCCGACGATTGACTGTTGGGATCGCGTGGGGTCACGGTTTGCAACGTCGGGGTACACAAGTCGATTGGTCGTCAACTGACTTCTGTTCAGGTGGATTTTCATGGGGTTATCACTCATTGGATTGAGGAGAGGTCAGGTGGAGGTTCATCGAAAACAAAGGGCGGCGATCGGTGTATGTTTAAGGGTTGGAATTAGGGTTTTTAAAGTTTTGGAATTTTTTAAAAGTTTTTCAAAAGTTTTTAGTTTTTTAAATGTAATAATAATTTTAAACAAAATTTTTAAAATTACAAGAACATAACACATGTCCTTTAATAGTAAAATTTAACGGCTGCTACGGCCGAGGCATTTGCATGAATCAAAAAAATAATTTGGATACCTATTTAAGAAAAACGGTATAATTTGGATTATTTTCTAATTAAGCCTTAATTTTATTAATATTACATAAAAATAATTTTTTATGGCCTTCTCGGTAATTGAACTTTTAAATTTGTTTTATGACTATCATCTGATTGAATTGCATTATTCTTTTAGTAAGAGATTAAAGTAATGAATAAAATAATAGTACAAACATTAACCCAATAAAAGTATTTCTTCAAATATCAAATAGACATCGAACCTAAAATCTATGGAAATAGAGAGATAATAAGAGGATAAACTCATTAAATAATCTTAATAATCGAAAAAGATTTTATTTACTGTAATAAATTTGGGTTCGAACAACTGTATTATATATATTTTTAAATTAATCATTAATATCCGATTTATTGACTGACTAATTTAGATCAGGTATTGCAGAGGCGAAGACGATTTTCTCAATTCAGTTTTCTCCATTCGCAAACGTTAAAATTTGAACTCTTGACTTTGCTTAAGGGACATAGTGTCTCATCCCACTAGACCAACTAGTTGTTGTTATTGTATTATATATTTGAGGAACAACAAACTCCACGGCGCAATTGCGCGTGCGAGAGAAATGAAAATGGAGCCTTCGGGGAGAGACACAACCAAATGCTGGGCGGTTGAATTCTCCACTGTCAAACTTTACGGCCACTCAACTTCAACTCTTGTTCAACTATCAACCTAATTATATTCAATGATCAAAACTTTAAGGATCGATGATGTATTTGGTCATTCAGTTATTATTTTGTTTTCATTTTGGTCACTAAATTATCCTTTTTTACATTTATACCATTGATGTTATACTTCCATTTTATATAAAAAATAAAAGATATAATAATAATTTAATGACCAAATAGACAAGTTAGCGAGTAGCTTGAAATACAATCCCAAAAGTGGGTGAATTGATTCCAGAAGCATTGAAGTACAAATAAGTGGGGTGGGGGGTGGAAACATGTTGTAGATGGAGTGAATGTCAACAAAAATTATGACAGTCCAGCTTTATGTCACTGTTGTTGTTGTCGGGGGACGCATTTCTGAGTTATAGTCACCACATCTTACTGCGCTTGAAAAAGTCATAAAATTCATGTCAAGCAAACCTTCGTGCCATACAATCTCAAGTTCCAATGCCCAGCCTGGTCGTTGACCTTTTTGTAAATTCACTCTATATAATATGTATGTAAGTAAATAAACAAAGAGATTCCTCTCCAACAAATCAAACATCAAGAGGATATGTTAATATAAATAAGATTACAATTATGCTTATTCATATTATACATATATATTTTTTGTCCAGAAGAACTTTATTTTTCATCTACGTATCTCATTCATTCATTTATATTCTAAATTGAACTTTTATTATTCATTTATTCAAAACTTTGCTGATTTAAGGTAACTGAAGAACTAAATCCGACACCTTGACATACATTTGTTTGTCCAAACCCCTTGTCCTAGAATACCACCCAAAATCATAGAACATTACAGGAATTATAGATGAAGATGAAACAAAAGAAATGATCCCATCCAAACCTAACCCAACAAGACAGTAAGTATTTTCATGTGGGACCGAAGTCACTTTTCGGCCCTCGATTCCATGAACAAAGTTTTCATGTACCCCCTCTTCACTTGCCACAGGCAACAACAAATTGTTTTCAATAAGCCTTCCCGCCTAGCAAGGAGCTATCACCTCTATATACATATAATCATCTTCAATCCACCATATCCCTTTCAAAGTGAAGGAAATTGTACAGAAAAAAATGCTACAATTATTATTAGAAGTAAACGTGATCAGAAAATGTAGCATGTTCATCATATCCCATCAACATACTGTGTTTCATGTAGTGCTATTGTGCAATACACTCACATCGCAGCGGACTTCCAAGGTGTTACAAGCTATTGCTATCATTTGATTTGATTGGATTATAATAAAAGTTCAAAATGATATTCAATTAGGGAAACGAGTGATCGGCGTGGGTGTAACATGTACCACAAAATTATACATCCGGGGTTCCCTGATCTTTCGTCTGGTAAAGTGTTTCTAAACATTCTTTTGCTCGATGAACCTTTGACTGCAGGTAAAAGCTCCCATTCTTGGCATTCTGCTCGAATAAGTTGTCGTATTTCTGTGTGTAGTTCATGGAAAAACTATCAAAACTTCATAAAAAGAATGGTATAATATCTCAGAGGATAATAGGTAAAAGTATCTAGCAAACCTTCAAGATTTCCTCCCATGATGAATGCTCTGTCACCCCTAGAATCTGCCTTGCCTCTGGTTCAGCCATAATTTTGCTTCCTCTCCTGATGTTCTGCATTGTTTCTTGAGCAACACCAGATTTTGAGGCATCTGCAATGAAGCACAAAGAAGGAATGGTCAATTCGAGGATTTAGAACATAGTATACAAATTTTGTAAATATGATAATTATTTTTTATTTAGAACAATAAACAGAAAAGCTGCAAGCCTTGACACATATAAAAGACATACTTGCAAGAGCCTGACGGTATGCCTGGAATACAGCCCTTCCCAATATGCCAGAGCCCATAACAATCAAGTTCGCAAGAATTCTTGCAGCCTATACAAAAACATGAACAATTAACTGTCTGTCTGATAGCATTTTTCTGTTATTTTAGTTACTAAGATTTCCCCATTTCCTCGAGTGTGAATAAACAAAGCACATACCATACTACATAATAGAGCCATAAGCCATTGAATGTAAACAAATTTAGGGGGGAAAATACAACAGTTACATGTACTGTCATAAGGATTTCGACAAGCTATTTCAATAGATGACTAAATTTAGGGCCAAAACTACAAGAATTATATATACCATCACAAGTATTTCAACAAACTATTTAATCATCTTGAATAATGTGGTAAACTGGTCCAAGCTATCAAAATGAAAACATAAAAGGAAAGCGTAGTCCATCCTAAAGGAAACATGATATGCAATTAAATCCTATCGTAACCAAGTCCCTAAATCAACACTACTAGCTTGATGCCAAGAATGCATAACTATAAAAATGTTCTCGAGGTGAGATTTGACAAGAAAACTAACATCTTTGCATCCATAATTCCGTATTACCATGGATTGCTTCTAAACATGAATTATTCACGACATAACTCAAGCAAGCATTATCAATATGCAAACATAAGAATCCGCAGATATTCCAGTGTCATGTATGAGGAGCCGACAAAATTACCAACATCGAACAACATTCTCTTGTTGCCTTCCAAAAAAAAAAATAAATAACGTTCACAGGATACACATGAAGGACATGAACAAGTGCTTCCCAACACATCACATAACTTTTTTTTACTTGCCTAACATTCTTTGCATAATGAGTAAGGCTTTTCACGCAAATTAGTATCAAAAGGAAGCAACCTAGATTGTTTAAAATTACTAGACCTCGTTATTGCCTTCACATGCCTCTGAAAATGACATATTTCAGTGAAATATTAATAAGAAAATCAATAAAGTACACAATTTCAACAACAAAAATAGGAAACGTAAAAATCAGGGTTCAGGTCCATTTACCATTGATGAAGTTTTAAGTTTACTGTTGACGATAATTCGGTAACCCCAAAGACTAAAACTGAATCACCTTTGGGCAAATCCCACAATTCCAGTAGAACAAATCAAAGCGAGAAACAATACCAAATCCAGTGCTATGAACAAAACGGTGTCGTTCTCGATGTTGAAAGCAGATCAGAAGAACAAAAGGCAAAGAAAAAGTAAATCAAAAAGAAGAATCAGAGATTTGAACTAGCGGTGTTCGAAATGAAACCCTAGAGGCAATAAACTGAGCAGAAAGGGCATAGGTTAAAACGTGTCACCGCCTCTATGGCCCAAGACGCCCACCAGGGTCGGTTTTCCCCATTATCCCATCCCATGCGGAAATATTAATCAGCTCAATAGGCCGAAACAGATTTTAATTTGTAATCTACAGTTATTGCTCCAATAAATCTGGAACTCATCATATGAAAATAAATTTTAAATAGTTTAAGATATGTGACTCAATATTTTATTTATTTTTAATGACATTCGTGATCTCGAAGTGATGGGTTTTATTAAAAATTAATTTTTTATTTTTATTTTTATCAAATAATTTGAAAGTAAAAAAAAAACATATTAAATTTGTTACGTCGATATGATATGTTTGTTTTGAATTTTAAAAAAATACCCGTTGTGCAACAGGTAGTTTTTGAAATTTAAAAAATAAACCGTTGAAACTTATCACGTAGAGATGACGATTTTAATCAATTTTATTTTAAAAATATAAAATAAATAATAAATAAAAAAAATATTAAAAAACTTAAATAAATAAGTTTATTACAAATTAATAAAAATTTGATTTATATTTTCTTAGTTCTTGACGATGCCGATGGATCGTCGAATATAATAGCACGGGACTTGTCGAGTACGTCAGGGTCTCGCCTTGATCGTCTTCGTCTTCATCTTTGTTTGCATATTGAATAGGAGGTGTACTGAACATCACTCTACTTTAAGATGAACCTCTGAAATACGATGATGGACTTATGATATTTGATGCCATCATTATCGTCATTGACTCAACTTGACTATGTTGTTGATCATATATAATATGATCTCATTCACCCTCACATGCATATTCAGTCGAAGATGCTTGAGTGTTTTGCATTTCATCACATGAACCTCCAACTTAATTTGGCTGAGTCCTTGTTGAAGCAAGATATGGAGGATAAAAAACAAAACTCGTCTAAGATGTAAAATAATCGATAGAAGCAGAAGCAGAAGACGAAGATAATTTCTTCTTGGCCTTTGTGAATTTGGCCTCTCATCGCTCCCATTTTTCCCTCTCTTACGATGTTGTTAAATATGATTTTTTATTTGCTTCATAATTTCGGAGATAAGGAGAAATGTTGAAATCAAGGTCGGCGGGTGTAATCTCATAACGCATAGGGACCGAGAAATGACATTGATTCCATTGCTCCATGTAATCAGCTTGTTTCCTCAACCAATTGTGGGTATGCTTCCCACACTTATCAATTTTATGGAACGCGTCTATATTAATAATTTGCGTAGGAATCAGTTGATCAGACCTAAACTGTCGCAACACTGTATTTGTCGCGTGAATCTCAACGATTGCAAAGTGTAATAGAGGTGTTACGACATACCACAACTCCGACCCTTCAAAAACACCCTATGGCAATACCCGATGGATCTCATCATCATAATGCGATATCCAAGAAAACTGTAAACATTAATAATAAAAGTTAGTATAAATAAAATGAACATTTTAATTAAATTTTAGTAATTTAAAAAAATAATATTTATCACATGTCGACCAACGATATTGATTCTCATTCGTATATCTTGTTTAGCTACACCCGATAACTTCGTCTCGATAATTTTGTCATCATCTAGATAATAAAAAAAGTCAAAAGTAAAAAAATATAAAAAATTAAATTTAAAAATTTACTAAAAAATAATGGTAAAAAATTACCTTGCAGCGAGAGGAAACTCAACCTGGGTGGTTGTAATTAGAGTAAAAAACGAGAACCGATACCACACCCAAGATTGTAACAGGACTAAACAACCTGCTACATCCGCTTTTTGACCATTTGGACAATTGAAGCCTTGTAAAGTTTCCGATATAAAAAAAGTCGATATCGCCGAGCCCTAACTAGTGTTGCGACACACATAAAAATTCTCCAATATCAGAAGATACTGAATGTGAGCCAAATTACCAGATTTATCCAGTAACAATATCCCTCCAATCAATTGGAGCAGATATACTCAGGTTTCAAAAATCACCTCAACCTCGGTAGAGTCATTTGTTACATTAAATTTGGACTCCGACCATGTGATATGTATCCAGTACTCTTATAAGACCTTTGATGGTAATTTTTTCCCCAAAACTTGGTAAACAATTCTGAATTGGTCGAAATTGTTGTGCCTCACTACAGTCACACTGTTAATCGAAACACCGAGTTGGTAAATGATATCTTACAACGTAATTGTTGATTCACTACTCGAAAAATGGAAAATATGCATCTCTGACCTCCAACGTTCAATGAGAGCCATAATCAATGCTGAATTCACCTTAAAATCGCACAAAAACGTAGCTGGATATAGCCTAGATTGTTACAAATATATAATAATCCGCTTATGCGGATCTCGGAGACCCATTCCTCTTTGACAAATGATCCGTTCTCCATTCGATATGAGCTCGAGCGAAGAAATATAGATCTCATCGAGATGCAACATTTCATTGCGGGTTGACATTTTCTGAAATTTGAATATTTTTCGAATTTTTTCTTAGCAAAATACAATAAAAAACCTAAACCCAAAACTCCTATTTATAACCCCAAATCCATCAGCCATAAAAGACTAGTTTTTTTTTTCAAAAATCTCACCAAACTCGTCACCTCGAGGTAACGAGTTACATAGTGACTGTATCAATCTGCCCATCGTGCAACGACTAGAAGCGACTATTTTTTTTAAATTTAAGACAAACTCGTCATCTTGAGGTGACGAGATTTATAGTTTTTTATTTTAAAATAACTTAGTAATTTAAAAAAATTAATATCTAAAAGGACTCATCATCTCGATGTGAGGAGTTCCTATAAAAAAATTAAAATATTGACTCACATAGGTCCCATATACGTGAAACCATTAAAAAATATTTTTTTTAAAACTCGTCAGCTCGAAGTAACAAGTCCCATATTTACTGTAACAAATGCCATAAATTACAAATTAAAATATGTTACAACATTTTGAGCTAATTTATTTTTTCGCTTGGGATATTGGAAAAACCCACCAGGGTAAGTATGGGAGGTTTTTCTGCCCAATAGGGCACTTATGTTTTTTATTTAGCCCAATTGGGCACTCGATTTTTTATTGGGGAAATGCATCACTTCGAGGTGATGAGTACGATGAGATATAATATTTTAATAGACTCGGATGAGTGGGCTCCATGTGAGCATTAGTTTATTGTAATTAATATGACTCATCACCTATAGAGCTGACGAGTCCATTTAAAAATATTTTTTTAAAAGTTGTAAAAAAATTTAAATTTAAAACTTAAAATTAAAATTAAAAAAAATAAAATAATTCGTCTTTTCGAGGTGATGAGTTTCTTTAAATTAAAAAAATAGCCGTTGGTCAAGGCAATAGCAACGGTTACTTGGGATTGGGACAATATGAAACTCGTCACCTCGATGTAGGATCCACTCATTCATGTCTATTAGAATATTATATCTCATTGAACTCGTCACCTCGAGTGCCCTAATGGGCCAAAAAAACCCAGTATGAGATTTGTTCTCGGCCCACTAAATTTTTTTATCACTGAGATTGAGGACTATGTTGAACTTGTTGATGTCCTAGAAGCTTTAAAGCATCCTGGTTGGAGGCGAGCTGTCCATGAAGAGTATGAGGCTCTTCAAAGGAATTGTACCTGGGAATTACAAGCCTTTCCACCTAACTGAAGACCTGTTGGGTGCAATTGGCTTTTTAAGGTCAAACGTAAGCCTAATGGTTCTATTTAAAGGCTGAAAGCTCACCTAGTTGCTAAAGGATACTCACAAAAAGTTGGAAGTGATTTTCATGAGACCTTTAGCCCGGTTGTCCGCACTGTTACCATTGGGATTGTGCTTGTTGTTGCTGTCTTAAACAACTGGGGTATTCGTCAGATTGACATCAACAACGCTTTCTTAAATGACGAACTTAGAGAAGAAATTTACATGATACAATCGCCTGGTTTTGAATGCTCTAGTCCTATGGGAGATTCGTTGGTTTGTAAACTTAAGAAAACCCCTTATGGGCTGCAGCAAGCACCGAGAGCCTAATTTGATACACTCAAATCCTTTCTAATTAATCATATGGGTTTTGTAGTAGCCAGAGCTGATTCTTCCTTGTTCAGTAAGCATGACAGTGAGGGTGCGTTTGGTTCACGGAATGTAAGATTACCAGTGGGAATAAAAGATTACCATATAATAGGATTACTGGGAATGTTGTATTTTGTGTTTGGTTGGTTTAGCATGAATGTAAGATTTTTGGTTAAAGGAATAAAAGATTATTAGAATGTATATTTGACCAAATTGTCCTTATTATATATTTGTATAATATTACAAATTGTAAAATATTTTATATATTTTCTTTAAAAATTAAATTCATAATATTTATATAATTTTTTTTACAAAATTAAAAATATAAAAAAGGTTTAATGAAATGATAAAAAAAAATTTTAACCCCTGAACTTCATATAAAATTTTAATTATAGATTTTTTTTTTTTTGTAAATCTAAAATAATTTAAGGATAAATTTGTAATTTAACCTTCGTAGAATTTTTATTATTCAATGACAGAAGAATGATATTTTTGAAAAAAAATAAAAATTTAAGGGCATTTTAGTCCAAAACACCGGTAATGTCACAATACCTAAGGGAAGGTAGGTAATGACATTCTCGGTAATATACCCCAAAAAATCTACTATTGGTAATAAAACATTACCGGGAATGAGATTTCTGACCAACCAAACATGGAAATGTGGGATTTTCATCCCATGGGAATCCCACAATCCTTGAACCAAACACCCCCTGAAGGTTGTGTTATGCTGATGGTCTATGCTGAAACTCAAATTTTCTAACAATAACAATAATCCATTAACCACTAAAATAGTTTGATTCATACTTATTTTTCTACAATCTTAAACATGATATCAGATGTATTATTTATGTCCATGTGCTTGCTAATAACTTGATTTTCAAGAGAAAAGCGTGTTCATTAGAAACTTCAAACCCTTTTCAATTGTGAGCGGAAAAGAAACAAATTCAATCAAAATTTGCTAATAATCTGATAGCATGGCCAGATTGGAGCAAGAAGGCGACGGGGCGTTTAGAGGACTTACAGGAGACCCTCAAAGAGGAAGGGTGCATTTCTCTGGTTTAGTTCGAGTATAAGAGTTCTTTCTTTTCTTTATTTATCAGATTTCTTCTTCTTCTTCTTTTATCTCCAACCAAAGAAACACGACCCTTTAATATTATTTTTCTTCACATTCCACGTCTCTAATCCCAATTTATATAGATAATGACAATTTTGTACACTTAAAATCACGGATAACTTACATATTTAATACTTAAACTATCGATTTCGATCTGTTTTAGTATTTAAATTTTTATTTTTTTAAAATCATACATAATATTTAGTTTTTTGTTTCATTTTAGTACCCGTTAAAAACTTAATGTTAAATTTTGATTTTTTTTAAGTTTAAGTACTAAAACGAATCAAAATTGATAGTTTAGATACTAAATGTGTTAAAGTTTTAACGGCGGAGTACTAAAATAAAAAATAAACATTAGATATGATTTTGAAAAGATTAAAAGTTTTAGTACTAAAATAAATCAAAACTGATAGTTTAAGTGTTAAACATATAATTTTTCCTAAAATGATTGATTTCATCCAACGCCTGCTCCAAGTTTCAATATTTTATTTTCCAAGCGTTTAACCGACATGGAAAAGATGATTGCGGGGGAAATTCATTAAGACGCTTTTATCCGGGATGGGCACGGGTCGAGTTAGATTAGGTTTTCGATCAATTTTATTTGATTCAAAAATTATATATATATTTATATATTAAATTTGATCTGATTTGAAAAATGTATACTTCTCATTAATTTGAATTTGATTCGATTTTCTGCGATAAAAACAAAATTTGATCTGACATGTTCTAAAATATTATTTTTATTCAATAAAAATAGAGATTTAATTAAAAATTGGAGAGATATTATTGTAATTGTCCGTAAATATATAATGTAAAATTATATTTTTTTAAATTAAGTCAAATCGAATATTTTTCACTCTAACTTAGATATGACTCGACTTAAATATAATTTTAAAAATCTAATTAAATCAAATCAAATCAGAATCCATCAAATTTGAGTCTTGTTCCTACGAGTAAAACGCGGAGTAAATACTTTTGGTAAGTCCTCTTTAAATATTATTAATGACTTGCCATTGTCAGTTTGGTCATTGTCAACATCGATGATACGACCACTCACTTTGATTAAATCAAGATAACGCTATCTTTCGATATACCTGCTATACTCGCAATAGTTTCCGTTATGACTGTAATAACATCCGTTATGATCGCAATCACGGAAAACGAAACATGACAAAAAAATGCGACCGTGATTTGAATACTTGCTTCCAGCTGCTACGTTATATACATCTTGTACATGTTCTTCATCTCCTAATGTTATTCTATATTCTTTTTGAGTTGTAATCCGTAAACTTCATAATGAATTTAGAAGACATGACATGGTTTGGTTTGATTCAAGGGGTTGAAATCACAGGGCAATGGAGAGTTACAATCAAGGATGGCTAGTTTTGGTTATGGTTTTGGTGACACTAAGTTTACCATATTCACAGGCCTTTTGGGGCAATGAAAATAAGATTCAAAATTCTGTTTTCATGTCACCCAAGTTTGTGGGATCGGTGGAAAATAGGTTCTACTACAATGTCGACTTTCCGAAAGGTCATATTGCCGTGAAAAGTTTCAATGCAGAAGTGGTCGATGAGGCAGGGCATCCTGTTCCGCTGCACGAGACGTATCCGCATCATTGGGTTGTTGGTAGATACTTTGTTCTTAGAGGCGTCGAAATATCAGAGTTTGATGACCATGCAAAACTTAACAGCTCGGATTACATTTCTGGGAGAAACAGTGGGATTTGTCCGGATCTTGGCCAGTTCTTTGGCCTCGAGTCTGAGACACGGAAAACCGCAACTCATGTTCCCGATCCATACGGAATAGAATTCTGTAATCCTGCTGAGATTCCTTCCGGGTTTGAGGAGCAATGGATGCTTAATGTTCACACAATCGATACAAGGGGAGTGGAGGACAAGTTGGGATTTACCGAATGCCGTTGTGATCTGTACGATGTCACGGTCAATGAATATGGAAGACCTCTGAGGCCAGACTACAAAGGGGGCTTGTTTTGTTGTTACAATCACACGCAATGCAAGGTAGAACATGGATTCGAGGGTGTTAGAAGAACGCTTTACCTTCGATACACTGTGAAGTGGGTTGATTTGGATAGCTCCGTCTTGCCTTTTAAAGTTTATATATTTGACATTACCGATACTTGGAAAAGGACCCGAAACTCAACTGGGATTACTGAAGAGCACTTGTGCAAGGTAGATGAATTGTTTACGTGCTGCAGCAAAATTCATTTTTGTCAAACTGAATTTCTTCTCAAATATTGTCATTGAATATCTTTGATGCATGTGGAATGAGATTGAACCTTGCCATGCGACCGGATTGGCTGATGATGGATGTGTTGACAAAAAAAGTATAAGCCTTGACGTGCCATTTGGTGGTTATCTCGTATATGGTGTGGCACACCAACATTCAGGGGCCATTGGTTCTGCTCTTTATAGAGAGGTATGTACAATGTATGCATGTATGCAATCTGATGATGATGATGATGAGCTGTGCCTGTTTGCATTTTGGTGAATTCAGGATTGCCAAGTTATAAGTTCTTCGTTTCCGACTTACGGGGAGGGAGAAGAACCGGGAAACGAAGCCGGTTATATTGTTGGAATAACTACATGCTATCCTCTACCGGGAGCCATCGAGATATCTAAAGGGGAGACTTTGACTTTGGAATCAAATTACAGTAGCATCAAACGTCATACGGGAGTAATGGGGCTGTTCTACATTTTGGTTGCGGACCAATTGCCCAAGCCAAGGCACACCCTATGCACTGTCATTCAAGTAAGACTCCAACTCTCAAATGATCATACATAAGTCACAACTATGTTTTTCTTACGCATGTGATGCAATTTTATGTACGATTTCGTCGCAAGGAAACTTCTTGATTCTGAACAACTTCAATTAAACCTATATGTTTTTTTTAAATGAAACAATCATCTGATGCAGACACAGGATACTATTACACTATTACCAATCCTTTGGGCCGTGGTAGCGATGAGCGGTGCGGTAGCTGTTATTGCCGTCTCCATTCATTAACAACTTAAGCGTGAGGGAGACGGCTATGAAGCAATTGGCATGTGAATGTGTTTAAATAAGCTCTACACCGTGTTGCATGTGAGAGTTCCAGTAACTTTGTTGTGAAGTTACAAGTGAAGGGAGAGGAGTTTGTCAAACCTAGAATCTAATGTCAATTGATACGATATTAAGGTGGTGTTTTTTTCCTAGTACATGCTTGGTTTATGCCTACGGGTTTAAGTGAAATAATGTTTATAAACTATTCGTTTATTAAGCTAAATAAATGAATATTAAATAAAATTTTATGTTTATTTAATAAAAAGCGAATACGAATATAGATGTGTTTAGTTTGTTTATGTTCACGAACAAACTTGTTTATTGACTCGTTTATAAATTCAGTTATGGAATCATTTATAAGCTCATCTGTTCGACTGCCCTTTTACTTTTATGTTTTTACATTTTAAATATTGGCGAAGATAGAATATAATGTGAACTTTGGAGTTTAAAGTATGAGATTTAAGGAATTTAAGGACTAGTGACATAATTGAGTCATTTTTACTTTGACGGGCAAATAAAAGGATAAAAATTTAGTGTTGATTGTTGAATATTAAACAAATGTTAAAAGAATATATTTGTGAACGTTAAATAAATATATTTGTGAAATAAACGAACGAATACAAATACCTTGAAAATAAATAAAAGTACGATACTAAAATTTTAAACAAACATGAATCGAATCGTTAAGAACAAACAAACGAAAAAAATATAACTTTATTCGATCAAACTCAATTTATTTACACTCCTATTCATATCTAACTATCATCAATTTTGCACCTAAGTATTATCAGGTAAGGACATTAACAATAACGGTCTAATTCTGAGAAGATATAGTCCTTAAAATTTACATAATTATCATTTTGGCTCAAACATTTTTGGGTGAATTATTATTATCCAACTGATTACTAAATGTTTTTATTTTACTCACACAACTACAATAATCTTCAATTTTATAATGTTTTCAATTATTTCTATTTTAGCTGTCCTTTCTTAAATTGTTGATGATTCTGGTATTTTAATTGTTATGATAACACATTTAATTCTCGACACTTATACATAATATTTTCTTTTAAACATGGCAACGAGATTTTATTAATAGTGAAAGAAATCAGAATTTTATTTTAACAATGGTAACAAGATTTTATTAATAATGTAAGAAATCAAAATTACAACGCATCAAAATATAAAAAGAAAATTGGAGACAACAGTCACTAAAATATTCATACAAAAATAAAATATTAAACCTAAAGATACAAAGAAAAATAAAATCTTCCATTGAGAATGATGACCAACATCAAAAGAACCCAGTAACCTTCGTAAAACTCCTTATATATGTCAAATGAGATGCTTTATGAAATGATAAAGGAATGGTGAGCGAACCAAACAATCTGGCATGCTGTTTCGCTATACAATTATGATTATAACGGTAAACACACCTTTTACCAAAGAGGAGATCTAACTATACGTGACCATCGACAAACAATCGAAAATAAATGTCGTAATAGTTTTTTGCAAGCACCAAAATGATAGCAAAGGTATGCGAAAAACGTACTAAAACTATAATGATCATGCCACAAGAGCAGAGAAAAACGTATGTCACAAGAACAGAGAAAACATGTTACGATGATAAAGACATAGTATAAAAAAATAAGAGAATTAATAATCACTGACGATTGATAACCAATACTAAAATTGATGTCGTTATCGACTAAACAAAACAAAAATCAAAGAGAAAAAAATACGACCCACAAAAATTTCAAAATACATATCATTTTTTCGAGTATTTTTAGCTAGAGATTCATTACATGAGTCTTTAGTTTCAAAACTCCTGGGGAATACCAAATTAATTGAGTTTGATAATGCTTCAAAATGGCACCAAATTCAACCTTAAATCCTTGAATCTATTCCTACACATCAGACCCATGTTAACAACTTTAAGCTAATTTTAAACACAAAGATACACTTTAAGCCCTTTAAGAAGCATCACAAAACATGCTAAACTACATGCACACTATCAAACAACAAGATGAAGCCTCAAATTACTCTCTCCAACTTCTTTGGATGCTTCAACATGTTAACTTTAATGTTAATATGTGAAAACCAAATTCGGAGATGCAAGAAGAATCATGGAAGGAATTGAGAGTCTCATCATTTATGGTGTTGTTATAATATCGGAATGATGATTATCGACAAACAAATAAACACGACCGAAAAGGAAAAACAAAAAACATCAGGATTTATGTGGTAAACCCAAAAAGGAAAAACCACGGGCAGATGAGAAGAATTTTACTAATATGAAGGAGGAAAATACATGATGATTTCGGTGAAATAAAAGAACTTGATATCTAACACTGATCCTTAGTATCTATGTATAGTGATAGATACTTGATTACAAAGGAAAACTAAATAAAGTAGAAATCTACTTTAATAAAGTTTTATACTTTTAATCAAATTGAGTTTCCTACTTTCCTAATATTTATATATTAATTAATTTGTGCCACTTTAAATTCGAGTCAAACTCTAACAAATCTCTACCTTGACACGAATTCTGAAAGTGAAAAGGTTTCGAGACAAAATACCCAAGTTCGATGTGACACCCAAACTCAACAAAAACAATTATTCATTTCAACGAACAAGTTCTCCACCTCTTCCACAACACCTCTCAAAGGGGTAATCTTTAGTAATGGACACAGACCGAGTCCAAGCTTTTTCTAGTCTTGGATTTAGTCTTCACATCGATATGATTATCATAAGTGTCAACTTTTCTCACAAATGTTTCACCACGAGCAATATAATGCACAACACGATCCTGATCATCAATGATAGTTTTATCTTCAAATTCATTATATTCATGAAATTGAACTTTTTTCTACTTCACATAACCATTCTTACCACGGTTATTTTGTTCAACAACGTTATTTGACACGGTGGATGAAACACCAACTGCATTATCTAAAACTGTTGAACCCTATAGAACATAAAACTTGGTAGTATTTTTCTGCCCTTTCAACACAAGAGAGTCCTTGTAAATTTTCATAGCTCAACCTTCACTGGAGAATTTGTATTCTACTCAAATCTGGAACATGTCTCCCATTACCAAGTGTTCGAACAATCCCATCGAACATCTTAATCTTGATTGTGCAAATACCTGTGACTTTACAAGGGACATTATTTTCCAAAAATACATCACCTTTAGATACAACTTCATACATCGCAAAAATAGTCACGATTAGGACTCATATGAAAACTACTACTAGAGTCAAGTATCCACTCATCACTTGTTATAAATTTGTCGTCAGCCGCAACTAGGAGTTCTCCGTCATCGTACTCCTCTACTATACCGACCTCACCAGATTTCCCAGAGTTCTGCTCTTCAACTTCTCTTTTGATTTTATTTTGCAACTTGTAACACTCCGATTTAACATGACATTTCTTTTTACAAAAGTGACAAGTTTTTCCTTGTTGGAAGATTTTGATCTACCCCATCCAATATTATCAGAAGAATGCTCGCCTTTTCTCCCACTGTTTGGGCTAGTCGATTCATGCATCACGAGACCATCTACTTGGGGCTCAGAACCAGATACAAGATGTTTCATCTTGTCAAATGAGTGCAAGTTATTGTAAACTTCTTCAAGAGTGAGTGTTTCGTGACTGTACAAGATTGTATCTCTGAAAGACTAGTAGGAAGGAGGCAACGAACATAGGAGGATCAGTCAACTTAAGTGAATAATGATGCTACTTTAGGTGTAACTTGTTGGTCAGGTGCTATTGAATGCGGTTTCCTTGAATGCAGTTAGGTGGTCTTCAAGAGACGAACCTTCCGCCAACTTAAGTGAATAAAGACGCTGCTTTAGGTTCAACTTGCTGATCAATGATTTATGCATGCAAAGTTGCTCTAATTTCGCCCACACAGATTCAACTGTTTTTTTCTTTCAACACATCCTGCAAAATTTGATTTGATAATTGTAAACGAATCTGATAAAGAGCTTTACGATCCTTACACTTTTCTTCATTTGTCAATTGTGTTTCCGACTTCTCATCAAATCATTCTATTTCATCATCGATATCTAATTGTGCAAGAACATCTTGAATCTTTACCTGCCATAGCAAGAACCTGGTGTTTCGATCCAACAACAGAATATCAATCTTCATTGTTGCTATAATCTTGAACCCGAAGCTCTGATATCAGTTTGGTATAATATCGGAATGATGATTATCGATAAACAAATAAACACGATCGAAAAAGAAAAACAAAGAACACCAGAATTTACGTGGAAAACCCAAAAGGGAAAAATCACGGGCAGATGAGAAGAATTTTACTAATATGAAGAAAATACAAGATGAATTTTTTTATAAAAAAAACTTGATATCTAACCTTGACTCTTAGTATCTATTTAGAGGAATACATACTTGATTACAAAGGAAAACTAAATAAAATAGAAATCTACTTTAATAAAATTTTCTACTTTTAATCAAATTGGTTTCTTACTTTTTCAATATTTATATATTAATTAATTTGTGACACTTTAAATTCGAGCCAAATTCTAACAGTGTTGATAAGCTTAGAGAACGAGAAAGAAGTACTTGGATGAAAGGATAACTACATAAAGTTGAAGTCTTTAATAAAAACTCTAAGCTTTGAAAATGGAGGAAAATGAGAGCGACAACGAAGAAAAAAGACGAAGGAACAAGGAAGTATTAGTCTTTTTTGCTTCGTCAATGGATACAGCCATTTGCTTCCACACACAACGTCTTTTTATCCACGCAAACTTCGACATAAACAAATAAAAATCCTTGTAAACTAACGTCACCGCTTATGTCTTTATTTTTCTATTGTTGCCCAAAACGCGTTATCCTCGAATTTATCAACTTTTAAATTACGGTGAAATTCCCATTCCCACCCCTTTGAGTAATACCACTTTCATATTAACGTTCACATAGAAGTAATCGACTATGAACACAGAAAAACACGTGGCAAAATCCTATATGCACTCTCTGTCTGCATGTCTCCTATATAATAATAATCATATGCACATATGGTATATAATATGCATATATGGAAATTTCAATTCTACTATAAAAGCGTGTGAAATCTGTGCAAATCAAGATAGTGGAGCTTTCCAGACAACAAGTATTCTCAGAACGTTCATCTCCTTCGTTCTTCCCTTTTCTTTTCTCAAGATTAGAAGCTGTTTCTTTTGGGTTCTTTGGGTTATTTTTCTTTTCATTTGGACTGCTTTCATCCATGTATTTGATTATTGCCAGACTCTATTTTTCCTCCCCAGGTTGCACTTGTAGTTGGCTAAAATCTTTGGGATTTTCTTTGTTCTGATCAAGATTGAATAGCTTTTTATATCTTCATCAAGCATCCTAGCGTCAAGGAGTTCCATTTTCTCAGAATATATTGTTTATACATAGTCTTAATCAGTTCTCTGATAATTTATTCCATCCCATAAGGTCAGCTCTTTTATTAATCTACTTACTTTATGTGGTCTAATCCGTGAAATATATAAAGTTCGCTTAGAAGAGATTATATGGTTGACTCAAGTTGTTCTAATGACAGTGAAATGGCAAATAACAATGATGCATGGTGGCTTTTGTTTGAACTTTTGCTGATACTGAATTTACCATATTCACAAGCTTTTGGGGGAAATGGAAATAAGATCAACACTGCTGTTTTTCTATCACCTGAGTTCGTGCTCGGACCGGGATCGGTGGAGAATAGGTTCTATTACAATGTCGACTTTCCAAAAGGTCATATCGCCTTGAAAAGTTTCAATGCAGAAGTGATCGATGAGGCCGGGAATCCTGTTCCGCTGCACGAGACATATCTGCATCATTGGGTTGTTGCCAGATACTTTGTTCGTAAAGGCGTCGAAATATCGGAGTTTGATGATCATGCTAAACTTAACAAGTCGGATTATATTTCCGGAAGAAACAGTGGGATTTGTCAGGATGAATCGGTTGGCCAGTTCTTTGGCCTCGGGTCCGAGACACGGAAAACCGCAACTTATATTCCCAATCCATACGGAATAGAAGTCGGTAATCCTGCTGAGATCCCTGCAGGGTTTGAGGAGCAATGGATGCTTAACATTCACGCAATCGATACAAGGGGTGCGGAAGACAAGTTGGGATGTACCGAATGTCGTTGTGATCTATACAACATTACGGTCGATGAATATGGCAGAACTCTGAGACCAGACTACAAAGGGGGTTTGTTATGTTGTTACGATCGCACGCAATGCAAGGTGAAACAAGGATTCAAGGGTGTTCGAAGAACACTTTACCTTCGATACACTGTGAAGTGGGTTGATATGGATAGCTCCGTCTTGCCTGTTAAAATTTATATATTTGACATTACTGATACTTGGAAAAGGACCCGAAGTTCAACCGGGATTAATGCGGAACACCAGTGCAAGGTAGGTAATCGTCTATGTGCTGCAACAGAATTTATATTCTGTCAAATTGAATTTCTTATCAAATATTGTCATTGAATATCTTTGATGCAGGTGGAATATGATATTGAACCTTGCCATTCAACCGGATTGGCTGACGATGGATGCAACGACAATAAAAGGATAAGCCTTGACATGCCATTTGGCGGTTATCTCATATATGGCGTGGCACACCAACATTCAGGGGGCACCGGTTCTGCTCTCTATAGAGAGGTATATATGTATGCATGAATGTATGTAGGTATGCAATATGATGATGATGAGCTTAGCCTATATGCATTTTGGTCAATTCAGGATGGCCAAGTTTTGTGTTCTTCATTACCGACTTATGGGGAGGGAGAAGAACCAGGAAATGAAGCCGGTTACATTGTAGGAATGACCACCTGCTATCCTCAACCGGGAGGGATCAAGATATCTCGAGGGGAGACTTTGATTTTGGAGTCGAATTACAGTAGCATCAAACATCATACCGGAGTCATGGGGCTGTTCTACATTTTGGTTGCAGACCAAGTGCCCAAGCCAATGCACACCCTGCACACTGTTATTCAAGTAAGATTCCAACTCTCAAATGATTATTCATAATTAACAACTATATTTACTTATGAATGTTAGGCAACTTGCTGTATGATTTCGTTGCAAAGAGGCTTCTTGATTCTTAACAACTTCTATTAAACGTATGATGTTTTGAATGAAACAACCACCTGTTGTAGGCACAGGATAGTATTACGCTGATAACAATCCTTTGGGTGGTGGTAGTTATCATCGGTGCGGTAGCTGTTATCGCTGTCGTCGTTCGTCATCGATTTAAGCACGGGGGAGAAGATGGCTATGAGGCAATTGGGATATGAATGTTCTTTAATGAGTGCTATGGCCCGTATTGCATCTAGGAATTACAGTACTAAGGCAGTAGCTTTGCTGTCAAGTTAGCGAGAATATACATATATATATATATATATATATATATATGAACATGACATCATATGATGTAATAGATTATGGAAGCCATTTTGGTAGATAAATATGCAAGATAGTAACTCATCAGCTAGCTTTGAATAATGTTGATGAGGCCATGTTGATGGTGTAGGGTTCTTGGGTTTCTATACTAATCAAGAATTTAAATTATAGTTACACTTACATTTTTAGTTATATTGTATTTATTGCGACTATATACATAATAATATTATTGTTGTGATCATTGAAGTCTTATTTTTCTTTTGATTTACACGGTTTCAAATTAAATATAGTTTTATATATAATATTATTTTTTTAATATTTTTAAAGTGTTTATAATTTTTTATATTCTTTTATTTATATGAAAATATACATAATCGCATTTTCATCGTTAAATTTAATTCTAAATATTATAAATTTTAATTTATAATGACAAGTTGTCCTTTTAAGTTTCATTTAATTGAATCATCAAATGATCTTAATAGTTAAAGAAATCATTATTTTCTTTAGAAGTCTCAAGTTTAAGCAGTTATACTATGTGTTTTGTCAATAACTATCGGGTTATTAAAAATATTCATTTAGTTAAAATTAAAAATAAATAAAAATATATCAAATAAATGACATAAATTTAAATTGTCATAAGACACTCAATCAAATGTCATTTAACAATCACATAAAATGTAAATTACTTCCGCATTGTGCAAATAATTGATTTGTTTTCTATTTTTTTGGTAGCATTTTAGTATCCAATGTTTCATTTTAGAGTAAAAAGTCTTTTAACTGAATAAAAATTATTAGCCGACTAACTTGATAATATTTCATACATATGTAACAAATCCACGTGCAATGTCATTTTAGTAAAATATATTTTTAGAATAAACTATAATTATAATTAATTACATATATATTTATAAAAATACATTTAAAATATTTTTAAAATATTTTTTTTAATAATATGACATCACATATGAACCTATCACGTTAAAAAAAATATTAACTGTAAAAATATTTTACTTTAAAATAATACGTTGGGGCTTGAAAGAAAAGGCAAATTGACATTACTATACCTTAATAAAACTCGTTTGATTCCTCAATGGACACAGCCATTTGCTTCCACACATGACGTCTTTATATCCACGCGAACTTTAACATACAAAATAAAGTGTAAATTATATATTTAGTATGTAAACTAATAATATTGGTTTGTTTTAGTATTTAAATTTTTATTTTTTTAAAATTATATGTAATATTTATTTTTATTTCATTTTAGTATTTTTGTTTAAAATTTAACGTTAAGTTTTGAAAAAAATAAAAATTTAGATACTAAAACGTACCAAAAATAATAATTTAAGTACTAAATGCGTTAAGTTATTGACAGTATGTACTAAAATAAAAAGAAAATTAAACATTAAATATAAGCAATTGGAATATGAATGAGCTATGGCCCCTTATTGCATCTAGGAATTCCAGTAAGAGACTTATTTTATAATCACAGGTTGCACTTTTGAGTTTCATTTATTGAAAACTCAACTCCGCTTTTTCTCTTATTCTATTTATTATTCGTTTAATTTTTATAATTTACTCATTAAACTTCGGCATTTGGCATTGTTTCTACTTTGATTACTCTAATTTATTTTATTATTTTCATGTGATTTGACAGTTTTATTTTTATTATATTAATAAATATAGATTAAATTAAAAAATATATATTAAATTAAATTTTTTAAAAATCTAAAATCATCTATTATAAACCCAATGTTTACACAACTGAATTAAAACTGTCAAGGGCGTTGATGACGTCCAATAAAAGGTCAAACTCACTACCCAGTAATTAAGATAAACCACTAGACCTAGCTAGGAGTTACAACTAAATTAAAGATAATTTTACTGATCACAGAAATGGTTTACGAATGATCTTAGTTTAATAAATTTTCTTAAAAACAATTACTGATTATAAATCCAAAAATAAATTCCTGCTGCAATTTAAAGAGATTGAAAGTAAAAATCTAACCTCACACAATATGAAATCGAGACTACTCTTATGATAGCCAAACTGATTATACATCTGAATAATTTGAAAATAAAAACAGAAACACAGTGAGCTACAAAATCAGTGTGCCCTCCAAATACAAATAATAATTCAAATATTTCATGCATAAAATAAAATTAATAAAATAATCAAGTAATGATATAATTGAATATTTATTACCAAAAAGCATGCAAAATTTCTCACAACTTTACCTATCATCATAGACGAGCATAATGAAAAACACTACATGCAGAGAGGAACCTAAGATCACCAAAGTGAATCCAGAACAAAAAACATAAATCAGGATGGGGATGTTACCCTCCGAAGAGAAGCCTAAGTTAACCTCAATGGAAGAACTCATCATAAATCAGAAATATGACAGGAATGTTACCCTCCGTAGAGGATTCCATGCAGAATCAGGATGGGATATAATCCCATGTACAATCAAGGCAGGATATATTCACATGCAGAATCAGGAAGGAATTATGCCCTCCGTAGAGGATCCCATGCAGAATCAGAAATGCATCAATGCACATATATAAAATGGTGCAGCGGTGATAAGAAATCAGTCATAACTCAAATACACGTAATCATAATACGTACAAGCATACATATAATATCGTACAACATAATAGAAAACAATTTTAACGGTAACAAACATGTCAAAAGGACACACCTATAACAGTTAATCGATGTTGACTAAGTCGTATGCTTCCCACGATCAGTAATACTAGATCTTGTGACATGGGAACCTAATAATGAAATAGTACTAAGTGAATCCCAAATAATACCTCTAAACACAAATAGACTTTTAACTCAATAATTAATACTTACGCGCATCTAGATATGGGCGAGTAAAATCAAACTGAGCCGAGCGAAGATGGTCGAGATCTACTGGAGAGCGATACAAAGATACATGATCACCTTCAGGAAATAGCACCAAAAAGTGAGTCTAAAATCTCACAATTTACTTAACAAAATTATGACTTTAAGAGATAAATGACGTAAAAGAATGATTTTAAATCAGATTTTGACAAAACGGACTGCAGAAACAGACTCAAGACATCGAAAACATAATGGTAAGGATCAATGGAAAAAGTCAACAGTCAACGAGTCAGATCAACGGGTAAACGGATTTGATTCGGTTAACCAGTTTAGATCTGGTTCGATCAGGCTGATTCAGGGCCGGTTTGGTCAGGCCGATTCATTATTTAAACTGCTGGAAATTTACCCACTTTCGCACGACGACATTCACAACAGACTACTCACAATTAATGAGGCTTCACAGAAAATCACTTGAAAATGTACAAGTAAATAAATACCATTTGATACTTAATAAGGCTCGTGGAAATCTGATACAAATACTTATTCAGAGTTACAAAACTGACAAATGGTTGCTTGAGAAAGGAAAATACCAATTTAATAATCTAAATCTTTGAAGATCATCATGTGCTTTCCTAATTGGGATTAAATAATTCTCTCTCCAAAAACACTTTATTAATCATCACCATAGTTTTAATATAGAGATGACCCATGTAAATAATCAATGCAGACTCCACTTGATTTGTACATGATACGATCATCAAGAAGATGAGTTTCACCATTTGCTTGGCTAGGCTCTGGTTACTCTCTGATCAGAACTTGAAAGCTCTTTGAGATGACCCCCATTTTGCTTTCCCATCTCGTCTTAGCTTTTAGTTGCAGTTTAAAAAAAAAAACTGTACGCACACACGTCAATGAGAGGTAGGGGAAAAAATAGGAATAATTAAAGGGAACGGTGTGAAATGACAAAAGAAATGGGTAAATTATAAGGTGTTTCCTTATACTTTTCTAGGGATCATATAATAGATACTAATTTTATTTCAAATTCAAATGGGGTCCTTAAGTATTGTAACCATTTCAGTCCTTTAACGTCAACATTTCAATTAAACTAATGAAATTATTACTAAAAGGTTTCAACCCCAAAATCAGGGTGTGATACATATTGTGATTCTGAACATTGATCCTTTGAAAAGCGTCCGTCATCAAAGGGTCATTTTCAATCTCATGAAGACGATCGTCAATCCACTTATTAGTAAGTTCATTGGCTTCGCTAATCATCCAAAAGAACACCTTGATCTCTGCAACTTGCAAAGCTTTGGGTGACTGTATCACACGCGTTTTAACCCTTGGCTGCCTTGTTAATTCAGCTCTCAAGCCTCAACCTTGTTTCCACAACCCACAAACATTTTTCAAGAATAAAAGCAACACGTTTAATTTCATCTGCAAAATTTATATTAAAACAAAAAGTTTTGTCGTCTTCCTTGAACCAAAGCAGTTTATATCCAAAATAAAGGATAAGACAAAGTTTGCTCAAATTTACAGCTTTGACAGTCAAAAAATGAAAACCATTGACATTGGAAGTGCAAGAGAAAGAAAGCTGGCCTCGATGTTATAGCTTTGACAGACAAAAAATGGGAATCGTCGCTATGAAGCTGTAGATGGACGGGGAATGACTGAAAAGGAAGATGCGAGTTAACGAGGGTCAGGCCGTCGAAGGTGGGGTGAGGGTGGGATTTGTAATTTAGGGTTTGATTTTTTTTGGGAATATGAGGTTTTGAGTATGATTTTAGATTTTGTTTAATATACTTTTTATTTTTATTTTTATTTATTAATATAATAATAATAATAATAATAATAATAATAATAATAATAATAATAATAATAATAATAATAAAACTTGTGCATCACATGAAAAAAATAATAAAATAAGTTAGAGTGACCAATAGAATCAGTGTCAAAGTTCAATAAGTAAATTAAAAAAAATTAAAAGTATAGTGAGTAAAATTGAAGAGAGTAAAGTTCCCTGATGAATAATGTAGTTTACCCTTAATTGAATAATCAAGTAACCTTAATAATTAAAAAAGATTATTATTTTTCTTAGAAGTCTCA